CAAATTGGAATAGATAAAAAGTCTTCTAGGTGGAAAAAAATGCCATCGTTTGCTTGTGTTTATAGTGTCAGCTGCACTCCATTGTTGACTTTTTTTTTGCATCAGATTTTAATTGCGTATGCAGCTATCTAGCTATGACACAATATCAGAGAAGTTTATGATAGATGACTCAATTTACAAGAAGAGCACTCATGCCTCGGATTTCATTTGCAAGTACCACTGCGAAGTTATGGTGGCTTTTTCTTCACCCCAAGTCAACCCTCATCCGTGAATACCCACTCAGGGGAACATCTCAAAAACCCTGGGTTATCCAGACATGCCTCCATCATCTTTCAACTTTTCTCCGCGCGATATGTGATCTGAGGTTTCTCCTTCCCAAGTGGAGTAGGTGTCCAGGCTACTCAAACTATACCAGAGAACACCACCAGGAGGCGGACCACAACACCTTCCATCGTTTGCTTGTTTTTACAGTGTCAGCTGCACTCTCGCAAGCGAAGTCTTGGCGCGCACAAAGCCCAATTCGAAAAACTCCTTGCCAAAATTCAGAATTTCACGCCCGTCGAGGTTTTATCCTTCCTTCGTATCATCATGTCGACTTATCCTGATTCCTCTCAAGTCCATCTCAAATAACTGTCTCCCAGATTTGTGCTCCACGCTTTGCTTCCTCCGTCGGGTGTAAATATCGGCGTGGGCGTGTATTTGGCGGTCAACTGAGGCCAGAGAAGGTCGAAGAGCGGTGTGGTCATCAGGATGAGGATGTACTTGGTCGTACTTGTAGACTTGATGAGACGAAGATAGGAGTCAAACTCGTTGGGGGCGAAATAACGACATGGAGGAGTGATTTGGATTTTTGCCTCGTGGGCCAACTTCTTTGATATTGCGAAATTTGACTGAACTTGGCTCTTGGAGAATATTTCACTCCCAGGTTCGTAGAGGACACCGCGTACAGGTGTTAAGTCTTGCCCTCCCCATTGTTGACTTGTGTTTATAATGTCAGGTGCACTCTCGCGAGCGAAGTCTTGGCGCGCACAAAGTTTAATTCGTAAAACTCTTGCCAAAATTCAGAATTCACGCCCTTCGAGGTAATATCTATTGGAATATTATCGTGTAATTGATGATACTAGAATGATAAGAATAATGAAACCCGATAATATTCGATTGATTGCTTGCTTATTGTTGTTGTTATCTGAACATGGAGATATCGCTATATCATATACAAGTCTCTTGTGCTAGCCTTTATCCCACATGACTACGCCAGTACTACTTGATCGTAAACTGAGACTCATTGACTCATTTACATCTCCCGTTGCCTACGTATCACTAGACCCTAGGTTCACAACTATGACACAACGCTAAGTATGCATGATACTCCTTGGCTGCGACTTCCTGACCTGGATGCTTTACCCAAGCATATATGACTCTGCCTCAAACTCGTCATGCATGGTGGTTTGACGCCCCTGCCAAGATATCTATCATAGACCTTGTATCTGTCGTAAATAGACATTTACAAGTCGTGCTCACGATATTCACAACAATATCCTTCCATCGCATCTTCTTGTAAACTTGTCCTGATTCCTCTCACGTCCATCCCAAAGGGCTATCTCCCAGATTTGTGCTCCACGCTTTGCTTCCTCCGTCGGGTATAAATATCGGCGTGGGCGTATATATGGTGGTCAACTGAGGCCAGAGAAAGTCGACGAGAGGTGTGATCATTGAAACGAGGATGTACAAGGTCGTACTTGTAGACTTGATGAGGCTTAGATAGGATTCGATCTTTTTTGGAATGAAAATTTGACGTGGTGGAGTTATTTGAATCATTGCCTCGTGGGCCAACTTGTTCGGTATTGCGAAATTTGACTGAACTTGGCTCAGGGAGAATATTTCACTCCCAGGTTTGTAGAGGACAAAGCGCACAGGTGTTCAGTCTTGCCCTCCGGTAGAGAAGTGTTGGAGGGCTCGCTTGAGATCGGTCCGACATAGAGCATCTTAAGGGTATCAAAAGTACAATTGTCAAAATGACTGGGGTGAGATCCCTGTGCGTATCGATTTGATTGGTTTAATCTTCATACAGGCCCATGTCTAGTTCGTTGACTAGTTTTACAAGCAAGGGTACTATCCAACGATATTCCGTGAAAGTCAAAATTAATGGGGTCGGTTCTCAACACCAAAACAAATGTACAATGGTCCTCATTTAAAATTAAAAATTAAAAAAAATCAATTGATATTATCTACAAATACACATCTGTTTCAAATATAATTGCTCTGTTTTACAACAGTTTACATCGAAGCCCTTGGTATGGCTCGCAACTAGAATGAAAGCGTACTTCATATTTTGTATAATTCTGCTCCATCCCATTACTTTGTGAACCCTCCATTTTCCTTCATCATCGCTATACATATTTCGTGCATGTTAACCACACTTAACGGAAGCTTCTTCCAAGCAATACATCTGCTGTAACCTATTTTTTTGAGGGCATTAGAAATTAAACCCTCACTGCATCCCCAGTGGCTGAAAGGTCTCATTGCTAGTTCCAAATAGCACATCTGTCGATTTTCAGGAGATCCCCGGATGAAAGCCTCAAGCTCATCAACTTGTTCCGCGCCTAATTTAGATATGCATCTTTTGCAAGGCTTAGGATTCTCTGTCTCTCGAGCACACGTAAGTTGCACTTGCCTTCTTGTGAAGCTAAGTTCGTCGGATATATGTTGTAATGTCAAGCCAAGTCTTCTTTATGTTCTTATTTCAATACATTGATCGCGAGTTAGATGCTTACGAACTTTTGTTTCTGAAGCAGACTTTTTGAAAGACATCGTTTGCTAGAATAGAGGATGAATTGATGGTGGTGTTAAGATTCATGGACTGTGTAGGTTAGTCAGCCAAAATCGTCGTTGAAAATGTGTTTTTCTAACCGAATATTAGAAGAAGACGATTGGACCATACTTCATGGCGAGCGGGGTAAGGAGGAGAGACATACTAACTTATTACGAACTAGCCCAACTGCGCCTACAGGGCTAACCCCTTAAACATCCCAGTCTCGAGGTTAACATTTTGGGACAGAGAGGCACTGAAAACGAGAATTCGCCTATCTCGGATATATTTGCTTTCTACTTTGATCCGGATGCGATCTTTATACTGTACCCCGGATATACAGTGCATTCTGAGTAATCGGGGCTAGATGGTGCAGTGGTACACCATTCTGGCCGTTCTCCCAAGTAGATACTGGGTAGCTTGAACACCTGCCCCATTTGAGACAGGAGAAACTGGTTCGAATCCAGTATATCCCACATACCTCTCTCTCTTGCGATGATGTTATGTTTGTGGGATGAAATCACACTCAGACAACTATAGGGTTTTCACTCTTTTCTCGGTGGTGGGCATGCATGGAAGAGGTTATTCGCCGTCAGAGTTAACCTCGAGTAGTATCTGTAAACGAAATCTGGGTGTGACTGTTCTAAGCGTCAAATTGAGTCATCCCACATGAAGTACTTATCGTCCAATAAAAACCTGCATGGGCCTCATGGCGTCAAAACAGGATAATGAATTAATTTTTTACTAACTAAGTAATTACATAGGCACCCGGGGGACTATTCTGAACACCTGTCAGTGGTGTCCCCTACGAACCTTCTACTCTCACTGTAGAGTCTGCAGAGCCAAGATTGAGTAACAAAGTCCTCACTTCAACGAGGATTCCCAATCGCTTTCGCGGTCTGTAGCTTCTTCATCCTTAAACACATCCCCCTATCACCATTTTCATGAAGCTAACCACGATCAGATCAGGTGGTAGGGTCGGAGCCCCTCTCATCACCAGCCCTTGATCATGGGGGTAAAGCCATCTGAACAGTTTCCGGAGCGTACCCAGAACCCGGTACGAAGATGGCGGATTGGATCAAGTCGACCTCGACTGTTACAAAGAAGGGAGATATAGATGAATATGCGCACCTCATGTGGACCCGGTGTCTAGGCCTCGCCTGGCTGGGGCTGCAGGTTTTTTGAGCCCTTTAATTCCTTTTTTTGGGTGTAAGGTTTCGGGGAAGAGGTGGCCGAATTCCACGGGTAAACACTGAGCTGAATGGCTATTCATCAAGGGGAATATATCAATGATCTTTCAAGTAACAAAAGAGAATAGGAGCACTGTACAAGGTGTGGCCTGGGTCAGAGAGGAGCCCAATGTGCCTGATAGTCATAGACTCAAGTAGCACAATAAACACACACACATACATACATACGCACCTCATTGTCACACAGTGCCTTCCTACACAAGCTACTCGGGCCTAAGTGCTTCGAGAGTTTCAAACAATTTGCGCAGGATACCCATTGTTTTGGGTATTCTCCTGTGTATCCATCTCCTTCTCTCAGTGGAGATCGAATATAACTCGTCAGGAAACTAAACCTGACATAATGGGAATCGAGGCGAGAAGTATTGCTTCCCATTCTAATTTCTTTGCAATTTATCTTTTTCTTTTGTCGGTTATGGGAGGAGGAGTTCGCGACGGCGCATATTTTTAACTGACTGCTGGTTTTATGGTGGTTCATACGGTGGAATCAAGCTGGGTATGTCTTAGATGTAGTTCTGGCTGTGAACACCGGTCCTGTACTCATATTGGATTTGGAGCTTTAGCTTAGGACTTTAATTAAACAACAACAACATACATAAGCACCTCTGGAAGGTGAAGAAATCGTCCATGCAGACACCACTCAAATTAAGCGAGCGGTAACAAGTTGATTCGGATATCAGCCACCTATCACTAGTGGCACGCCCAATGAAGCCATTCAACATTTGGACCAGGTAATATCATCGCAAGTTTCCTAACTATTTTTTCAACTTGAGAAAATTTGAGGCCATCGTATTCATTCGCACTTATCGCAAACACAAAACGTGTGGGGATAGATTGGTCCCAATACTCTACACATTCCACGAACCTCATTGTATAATCATGAGCGGAATCATGCCTGGCTGAACATAATTTTTGAATCAAAAACATCCTAAAAGCAAAGGGAAATGAGAAACAAAATAAATTTTCCAATAAACTTACGTGTATCCTTGTCTCTCTCTATTGGCAACTACTTATCAATCTACAAAACCAAAATTAGAATCGCTGCTATTATGAAGCGTCCAGCGTCTCAATTTTGCATCTTGCGTTCCATAAACTCACAAGCACGCTTGTATTTTTATCATAAGCTCTTTCATCGTAACATTTCGCAATGCAATCAAGCGAAATTTCCTGCCAGCAATATGAGAGATTCAGAGGTGAAAAAGACTACAGCGCCACGCTTAGACTCCATTACGCTACACCGGTTACAGACCGCTCACCAGTCTTATTGTAAAAGACGTATGATTTACAGCGGGATAGGTGTTATCGCTGGAATGATTGGTATTTTCCTAACCGCTATGCAAGCTCCGCCCTTACCAGCGGCGTCCGAAGCATCAGGCTCCTATAATACCAACCAACTTGAAACAACAAATTCTTCTGATGACCTTTTTAATGAGAAGAGCTGCACAAAAATAATCATTAAGCCACCAGGGGAAAGCGTTGAACTTACCCCTACAGGAAATTCGACCGTTCCTGTATTTCCAAACATCATCACTCTGGAATCAAAATCCACTACATCATCAAAGCCGAGCTTCACAGAATACCAATTGCTAGGTCTCGGTATACGTACGGTCAGCTTTCTTAGAATTCAAGTCTATATTGTTGGGATATACATTGCAAGAGATGATACAATTGCTCTCCAAAATACACTTTTGAAGTATATAGATACAAAAAACATGATTTTCTCGGGTTCTGCAAAGGAAGAACTACGAAGACTGTTGAAGAATCCTGAAACAAGTGAACTTATATGGAACAGTATATTGCAAAATGATACGTGCAGGACGTTAGTTCGAATCGTACCCACTCGAAATACGGATTTTGGGCATTTAAGAGATGCATGGGTCCGAGTTTTGACGGCACGAGCAAAGAGTATTGGGTGGCAAGATGATGGATTCGGACAAAGCCTAGGTGAATTTAAAAAAATTCTCGCTCATGGTGGTGTTCCCAAGGGCAAGGAATTGCTCTTGAGTAGAGAGTTACGGGGGAAACTTGACGTCTGGTACAGCGATGGAAAAAGTAGAGAAAAGTTAGGTGAATTGCGAGATGAAAGAATCTCGCGGGCAATATGGTTAGGCTACTTGGCTGGTAAGACCGTGGCATGTGATAGTGCCAGAGAAAGTGTGATCGCAGGCCTACTAGAGCTTGCAGAAAATAATGTAAATAAAACTGTCTGAAAGAAACACATCATATAATGGACATTTAACCTGTTAATTAATGTTTGGCTTTGATTTTAAAGCATTCATAAAATATCTATTGCATCTATGCTCTCAACATTTATTTCAGTGTTCAAATCTTTGTTCTTCAAGCTACAATGCTCCTGCATCTTTAAGTAAACTTGGTAGCGTGGATTTCTTAGATTGGAGATCTGAATTGCCACCAATGTGGACCTTATTAATGTAAATATTTGGTACTGTTGATTGACCGTTAATCTCTTTTAAGGCTGCCTGAATGGTGGACCCATCATCTATCTCATTGATTAGTTTTTATTTACTATCTTCAAAAATATTTTGTCAACTGTCCCCCTTCCTTGTAGGAAAGATCTCTGACGCACCAATTTGATCGAGCTCAATGGCGGTATATTTCGCACCCATACTTTCTAATAGGTTCTTTGTATGGTCACAATGTGGACAATAGCTTTTGCTGAAAACAGCTGTAAATCGTAATTAGCCTACCGCTATCTTTGTCCTGGTAAGAATCGCCGTACCAACAGCGTGATCGTTAATGATCTGTTCAACTTTTGCCTTTGCGGTTGACATCGCCGTAGGACTCACAGCAGTCTTCGTGAAAAAACGTCGTAGGAAAGAAATGATGGGCGAGAATCTATTGAATGCTGGTAAGTTTCCTTCCAAATCGCTGTCGGTATCTATTTCGGATAGAAAGGGCTAACAACCGGTGCAATTCAAGTCTTCGTCAGGTGCTACTAGGCTGTTTACGGCCTAGTCTACATAGGTGAGGATCCTGAACTACAAGACTCAGGGCAAGCGAACTGTCGTGTTTTAACGCCACTGAGGTTTCTTTTTGTTTTTTTGCATCGGATTTTAATTGCGTATGCAGCTATCTAGCTATGACAAAATATCAGAGACAAGTACAGAAAAGATGACTCAATTTACAGTAGGAGCACTCAGAAGTATTTTAAGAAAATGCTTAAAGCTTGTTGCAGGTGCCTGCAATTCTACTAGCATCAGAATGCTAGAGCACGAATCGTCTGTCCTCCCTACAGAGATATACCTGAAATAAAGGAGGATCCAGCACGCCGGACTATCAGATAAACTCCCAGTTCAACAGACAGTGTGATCGACATGTAAGAGGATAAAGCTGCCCGCAAATGGGAGAGAAACTCCGCATGCATTGACCAGGAATAAAGATATCGCCGAATGGACAAGAACTTGCGGAAGGGAAAAGGTCAAGAGGAGGCAGAAAGAAGCTATAAAGACAGCGGCCTTTCAGGAGTGAAAGGATTCATGAATAAGCCAGATCAGGAAACAGCGCCCTGGCCGACTAGCATCAGCCGATCCAGAACAATGGAAAGCGGCAAATATATTTTCTGATGAACAAACAGGCAGCGCCAAAATGAACTTCAAAGATACTCCCTTAAGAATCCACCGTAACCTAACCAGGGCCCAAAGCAGTGTCGCCATTTAGCCAAGGAACGAGCATATCGGACTCAATTCTCACCTGTGCAGAAGAAAAGTACCCGGAGTATAAAAGCCTGGCCGTTAATGGGGATATCCGTCGCAAAACGTCAAGCATATGGCGTTGGCGTGTCCGCAGTGGGCAAATGGAAGAGGCGACTTTCTCCGACAAGCTAAAGACAGGTCATTTGAAGCCATGATGAACAGCCCAGAAGATATGGCTAGAATTACACGACGGATACTAAACAAAGAGTGGATAAAACAGTTTCGATTTGCAGGGGAAGTCGAGGTAGTAATGTCGGATAAAGTAAATAGATCTGGAAGGGGAGAGGACAGAATCCACACGGGCTGAACAGTGTACACTACACTTCCTGAAGGTAAACCAAATAAATTAACAGGAACATAAACAGACAGGATCAGGGGGGTTTCACCAAATTGGTTTCCTCCTTTGTAAATAATGCAGACAGTCACCTGCATGGACCCATAGGGTGCCTGATCGGGTTAATTGAAATCAAATTCAAATTCAAAATAGGAGCACTCATGCCTCGGATTTCATTTGCAAGTACCACTGCGAAGTTATGGTGGCTTTTTCTTCACCCCAAGTCAACCCTCATCCGTGAATACCCACTCAGGGGAACATCTCAAAAAACCTGGGTTATCCAGACATGCCTCCATCATCTTTCAACTTTTCTCCGCGCGATATGTGATCTGAGGTTTCTCCTTCCCAAGTGGAGTAGGTGTCCAGGCTACTCAAACTATACCAGAGAACACCACCAGGAGGTGGATCACGGCCCCTTCCATCGCTTGCTTGTTTTTATAGTGTCAGCTGCACTCCATTGTTGACTTGTTTATAATGTCAGGTGCACTCTCGCGAGTGAAGTATTTTTTTTTTTTTAATTTACTTTGATCCTAAGCTAAAGCTCTTTATCCACATTGGGTCAAGGACCGGCGGATCCGGCGGATCCGGCAGGGTTCCCTGTAACTTTTCCTACAGCCTAGCTCGTTCCAGCCTCGTGAATCGCTACCAAAAGTGCAGCTGATTAATCAAAAACGAAAAATCAAGATAATCAATACAACTCCGAAAAGAACAGAAGACTCCTCCATATTGGACCCAGCCAATGCGCTCCTCACACATTCCGTCGTCCGTCACACCTTCCAAATGACAAATTTACTCATTCTTCGCTGAAAGCAAGAGATAAGTTAGCAGGTACCTTTTATCCAGCCGGTATCCTGCTATTGGTTAGTAGATGCCTCAATGGGGACATCGTCGAGGCTGCTGTGTCCTCAAACTTCTTCTTCAGCTTCCAGAGCTCCGAAACCTGTAGCCTCGGCCATCGAGAGGTCCTTCGCAGCGGCGATGATCGCCTCTTCGGCCTTTTTTGCTGCTGCTAGTGCTCGAGCCACCTTTGAGAATTCCCTTTGTTCTATGTGGCGGATCCACGCGAGCTGCTCTTTGGTCACCGGTCCGGATTTTTTGGGTCTGACCTGACAGGCCCGAGAATCCGATCGGTGAGGTCCCCCACAGTTGCGACACTTGGTGAGGGCCATGCACTCGGCTTCCGAGTGCATGTTAGATCCGAAGTTCCAGCAGGCTGGAGCGTGGGAGCAACCACGGGTGGCGTGAAAGCCCTAACAGCGTTTGCACTGTTCAATTTGTGGACGAGGCTTGTGAATGGTAGCCATAACACCTCGTCGAGAATGCGGAAGCCCGGGCGAGGGGCGTTGTCCCGGGTAAAAAGGGCTTTCCAATTTCTGTACGGTGCTCCAGGACGGCATGTCCCGTGCGGTAGCACCTGGTGTGGAAGCTTATGTGTTTTTCGGTAGATCTCCAATGAGATCCACTCAGTATCGACCGTATGAATACAGTTGATTGTTTTTACGGTCGCCGGAACATTTGCGATCCGGAAGGCGACAAGGTTTGTGTGACGAAAACCGAGTTGGTTGTGAATAAATCGATTTATTAAACTATATGAGGAGAAAAGAGAACTCTAGCTACGACTAACAGGTATTTATAAGAATTGGTCCCCTTCGTCAATCTCCAGACTGATGACTTATCCTTAGGCACAATACTTGCTACCCAGCCACGCATTGCCAGGTGTTACTTAGTTGTAGTAACGCTTCGACCTCCTGACTAGTAGTGCCGCCTAGTTGTAAATATTCCCAACAATCCGCTTAGGTATTGACCTAAGCTCTAATAGCGGTCAAACCGTAACAGTTGGAGGCTTCCTCGAGCTTGGCGTCCAAGTCCGAAAACTTTGGTGCGGCATCTAGAAGCTCTTCCCTTTTCTTTTCTTTTCATTCCCTGTCAGAATCGCAAAGCCGGCTCTAAGACGGTGTATAGAGCAGGCGTCACTCAAGAAGAAATCTAGCTCACTCTGTAGTTGTTGCCGTAGGCCAGCAGGCGAAAGCTGGCGCCACGGGTGCTCCTTTTCTAGGCAAAGGAACAGTCGTTTGTCGACTTTCGCCTTGGGAGCTTCTTTCTTTGGGGCTTTGGCCGCAGGTCGCGGCACAGCCTTTACAGTTGGGACTGCTTTTTGTTGCAGTCCGTTTCTGGCCACTGTGGCCCAGGTGCTTTTGACAGGCAGAACTGGGACGGCGGGAGTTGTGTTACTCCTGGCTTCGGGAGCCCTTGGGAGAGGGTTCGTCGGGCGAGGAGGGAGGACGGGTGGCGTTGTGGCCGGGCCCGTGGCCATGTATTGCGCTATGGTGGCGCGTAAGTAGACTCTCATCGAGTCTACGAATTGTCTATTTGACCCGTTGGTCAAAGGTAGGAGGGTGGCTTCGATGCCATAGATGGCGGCGGAGCAGAGGGCCAGGTTTGCTGCTGTTTCGGCGACGCGTCATTGTTCGGCTTCGACAATTGGTCGAAGCTCGAGGGGACACTCTGCTTTCGTGACAGCTGTTGGCTGCGACGTTGATTTTGATGTTGATGCTGCTTTGGGTGCGGCGTTTTCCGACGGTTTTGATGTGGTCGGAAGAGGTGTGGACGATTCTCCAATCCCGTGGGGGACGGAGGATGGTTGAGGAATTTCCTCAACAATTTCGACTGACCCGATCATGTCAGTATCGGGCTCAGTGACGACGGGGAGGGCTTTTTCCTTCCCTTTAGTAGAGACCTTGCTCATCTCCGCGCATTTCGGAGACTGGACAAGGCTTGGTAATTGTTCGAGAGCCCTCGGGCGGACTCTCGTGTTGTCCAACTTGGCGTTGGGACGCTTTTTGCGAACTGGAGGCATGGTGAGAATGCCTGAGCTCGATCACAATTCAGAGATGGATGCGACGAGGTCGAGAAGGGAGGAAAGAGGGAAAAAATGAATTTTCGAATTTTGTAATGTCTCGAACCACAGATACCTTCGGGAATAGGTTTGCTATTTCGACGATTCTTACTAGCACCTGTTGGTTTCTTGTCAAATGGTTTTGCTACCTCGAGAATAGAAGCAGCAACAGAAAAACCTGACAATTGAGGCTTATTACATCGTAAGAAAGCTGTTATCTCCGCAGCATAGTCATCCAAAGAAGGCAGTGCATCTGTGATGCTAGCCTTTTCAGCCCTAAAGATGTCGCGAAGACAAGTTGTTTCATATTCTTGATCAGGTACCTTACACGCGACAAGGAAATCTTCTTGTGATCTAATACCATCGGTTTCTAGAAGATTCATAGATTTTCCAATCGCTGTGACACGTGTCCAGTTAGAAAACCAATCACCCAGTTTACTCACAGCTGCTGGAGCTGTTTTTAGGGTAAGGTACTTCAACGTTATTTCATGAAGGTGCGTAGATGCATCAGGTGCCAAATGCTTTTTTAGCCTAACTAACCTGACATATGGTGTACTACAGTCTTGGATGAGATAGAGCTGCTTCTTTGAAATTGTCTTGCTAATTTCTAGGTTGAAATCAGCACGGGTTTGCACAAGTTTTCGATATTCCGATAGTTTACGTCCATATCTATCGTAATCCCAACGGAAGGTGTCCCTATCGTCTTTGTCACGATTTGCTAGTGAGGTGGCATCGTCTTTGTAGGATCTTAATTCTAGCTCAGGAGGTTCCGTGGGGACTGGTAAATATTCTCTATGCGTCTCCGGGTTGACGTATTGCCAGAGATCATGTCGAAATCATGAATCTTTTCTTATGAATAACCAATCAAGCCGATCACTAGACTTATCGAGGACAACTTAGACTCGAGTAACTGTTGGATCAGATTAGGAAAACATTTTTGAATAATTTTGTCGCTGCAGATAGCCTTTTTTTTGCATCAGATTTTTATTGCGTATGCAGCTATCTAGCTATGACACAATCAGATAGCCTTAACAGGCGTAGATTTGCAACCTATTCTAGGTTCTTGATTGATGCTCCAATTTGTCGCGTAGATTCGCAGACAGGTGGATCTCGGGGATTGAGGTGGAAGCAGTTGGAGAATGATAATCGAGAGACTAATTACAGAGCACCCGGGCTCAAAACTATTAGGTTAATTGTGATGTACTTAAAAGCATTAAATGGGTAGCGGTAAAAATCGTCTGATTGTATTCCCTATGTTGTGTCTTCGACGTTGTTCCTTAATATTAGAATATCTACATGCCAAGATACTAATGCCGCACCTTCCAAGTCTAGCTCCTGCAGGACCATCAACTCCTTAAAGAAACATGTACGAAAAGAAACCGTGACACACATCCATCTTAAAGAGCTTCCTCACAGATTTTTGGTCACACTTTGTTTCTCACTTCGGGTGTAAATGTTGGCGTGGGCATTTATTTGGTATTTAGCTGAGGCTAGAGAATAGTCGATGCGAGGTGTGGTCATTTACATGAGGATGTACTAAATCTTAATTGTATACTTGATAAGGTCTTGATGGGGATAGATCTAGTTGGATGTGGGAAATTGATTTGGTGGAGAGTCATGAATCATTGCCTCGTGGGCCAACTTATTCGGTATTGCGAAATTTGACTTAAATTAGACCTGGGAGAATATTTCTCTTCCAGATTCGTAGAGCACACCGCGAATAGATGTTAAGTCTTTACCTTCCGACCCTATCTTCACATTACGCGACGATTGCGGAGGTCTAGGTGCCCTCTTGTGCCTTAGATTTTGGTCACCAAATTTGGGGTTTGAATTACTCCAGTAGATATTGAGTCGATTTTAGCCCGAGGATATCTTTTGGGGAAATCCAAATCGATGTGGAGCTTCAATTATTTAGAATACGAATGTTAGACAGGGTCGAGCCTTTCCGCGGGTTATATTTTGGCTGTAGGTGATTGTCATTGTTGAGGTTTGGCGTTGTTGAATACCTGCAGAATGTCTACAAGACCAACACATTGCCAAAGCCCCTCCTGATCGCCCTACTGACAAAAATTCTCCACCAAACTCTCAACTATCACTCAGCCTTAGCTCAGAGGGAATAATAAAACCCTAGGTGCGTTAAGGTGACCGTTAACAGGTGTCGGCCGTCATTCTCCTTAATCGGCGTTTTTCGGCCCAGCGAATAACATATGTCAAAGGCTGTAAAATAACACTCCTTAACGTCAATCAGTTTCGAGATATTCCACTACAAGGGTCCAATGGTATTACGATATTTGAAAATAAAATATAGTGTGTAAATTTCTCTGATTTCAAAAGAGTCACCCAACGTACATGCAGAGCACTGACAATACAGTATAGCTAGATAGCTGAAAAATATGAAATGGATAAAAAGAATTTGATCATGCGTTGTGTTAGTTGGGTTCGCGTCCCAGCTAGATTGTTGATGATCTGGTAGATGACTTCATGCGTTTTAGATAATAACATGCTTTAGCATATAAGCCATGACAACTCCAGGCCCCAAAACATAAATGTAACGTTAATATATTGGCGATATCGGATATTGAACAATTGCCTCCTCACAGCTAGATAATGTCTGAAAATACCGTGATGGGCCCCGCATCAAAATCATAAATTGGGACCAACAAATGCAACACAAAGGGTAGACATGCTTTAGAAAACAGAGTATACTGTGAATAAGGAGGATGAAATAGATCTTTACATGCAACATGTTCAAGAGATTGAGAGGGGAGATGCTTGCAGCCCAAGTCGAGTTCGAGGCTTGACCACTTCGAAAGCATATCACTTTCTAAATTCTCTTCGGGGTTGCTGGATAGGCTCTACCTTGATGTCTGGTGTGTTAACATACTAAGTTGGGATAGAGATGTTCATTCTCCCACTCTTTCTACAACTGTGATACATCTTTAAGAAAATTACCAGACAAATCATTTAGCCTCGCACCCTTATATCATGCCAAAACCTAATTCCATTGTCAGCTCAAATCGAAGTACCAAATCTAATCAGCGGTCCAGAGGTAACTAATAGCATCATATAACAGTGGTAAACAAAATATATAATCACTCAAGAACCATGATCAAATACGGAGCATAACCAAAAATGATATATTTAAATCCGAATGTGGTATGAACCGGAAAATCAAATAAATTAGATTCTATTGTCTCCCTAAATTCGTATAATGGAACTACTAAATTTTCGATCCAATTCCATGTGTCTTTTCAAGGATCTAGTATAATTTCAGTTAGGTATAAATAATTCGTATTTTGGGGTCAATTGTGTTCCGAGGCTCATAATCAATAGCAAAATTAGGCCTCATGATGGCTGCACGCTTAGTGGCTTCTTCAATGACAAGCATACTGAAATAATATACGGAAATATATTTTTGTCCGTGACAATATGCCCTGCTCAGGTGGGGCAGACATTAAAATCACGATCCGTGATGTGACGCGATCTGTTTCATGCCAGTAGTCAAGTGATGTAGTAAATCGTGAGTTGCTGTAGAAAAGTTTAACATGGACTCCAATCGAATATCACGCGACATGTTTATGTTGACTAGGATGTATCTGCATTAAATGCTATTTGTGTAGTTATAAATATAACAAAGACAGCTGAGAAGAATAAGAAAGAGCCTTGTATCCGGGAATCACAATGAGATTGAAGCAGATATTAAGTTTTCCTCACGGAAAATGGTGTTGTTACAATCGAATAAATGCTACAGTTCACAGTGATAAATACCGAAACTCTACATCAATTTAGTTTGGGAGTGCTTGCAACAAAGCTGCAGTACAATTTACACAATCTACGGATTTGCTCTGATCTACACGTGCTAAATTAATTCTCGCAGGCTTTATATCAGTTCGTAAATTGAACACAAATCGGCTACAATTTCCGAGTCATTACTCTCCCTTGAACGAGTCACAGATGCCAAAATAGACTGTTTTCATTGCTTATTACCGTGTGCTTGCCTCATCTCTTAATACAATGCACTGTAATCTCAACATGACATCTGAAGAATTTGACGATAGTGTCCGCTGCTATTCGAGTGATACCTCTTGTGGCTCTAACAGTAAAAGAATGTTTTTATTCTGGGTCCTAGATAGTTGTGTTCCGAAATATTGATAGAGTTTAAAGTTGTTGTGAAAAATCTATGTGTCAAGTCCATGTTATTCGGAGCAGGGTATACTAATTTGTGACTGGTTTCGTGGGGGTATAGGCAATTATCTCATCCATGCCCAGAAGTCGAAAGAACTGTTGGATACTACTTGGGAAAGTTTTGAATGTTAAATTTCAGTTATTGGAAAGAATATTTGTTAACAAAATAGATAATTAACATAGACTGTAGGTATGTGGATAGTTGACAATAAGACTGTCCAGCATCAACTCATGAATGACCTGGTTTCAACATTGTTGTACTTTGATATTTTATAATTTTTTGAATCAGAGGCTTGGAGAATAGATCACGTATATTGCCACTTGTGCTTCCAAATTGAACGCCAGGAAGTTTCAATAACTAGTAAGTAACTTAGTCTCTAGTAACCTAGCTCAGAAAGTTGTTGCAGAGTGCTCTTGTCAACCGCTGCACCTTTTTGCGCATCAGATAGTTGTCTTCTTGCGGCCTTCTTGCGAGCATAGTAAGCTGCGCCTTTTACTTTCCGTCTCTCTTCAAGTCTAATATATTTTAGCTATTTCTCCTTAAATATGGCATATTTCCACATACCTTGCTACCACATCCTGATATTTCCAACCAACTTCATGACTTAATCTACCGACAGTGCAGTATTTCCGTCCAGGCTTCAATCTCAAAACTCGGAGAGCTTGTGGAACGACGACTCGCTTTACCTTGTCGTATGGTGGGGGTACTCCTTCGAACACCTTAAGCCGTTCCATGGCAGCAGCACCACGAGCAGTCTTATGAGGAATCATGCCGCGAACAGTCTTGTAAAAAATTCGGGACGGCGCTCGGAAGTGAAATGGGCCTAGGTTAACTCGTTAGGACGAGGTGGTCAAATTATGACGGTTATTTTTGGAATGGGGCAGTTGAAAAGTATTACCTCCTCGAGTCGGGTTGTATCGGGTCATCTTTCGGAGGTAAGCATGGTACTTTACTGTTGTAGAAGTTAGATCAAAATTATCAGAACATATTTGTTATAGTATATTTTCAGTTAATCGTCATCGTGCGAGTGGAGCTTACGTTTGGCCCGGAAAAATTCCCCGGAAATATTCAGCGCCTCGCAGCGCACTACCACGATCTTTTGTCCCTCTAGTAGCTGCTTTGCGACTGTGCTGGCTAGTCGACCAAGGAGATGACCTTTGCCATCGATCGTGATCTATGATGAATTTGAATCAGTCTGATGTCCTTAAATAGCCCTTTTGTAGGGGTTCCGCCTCCAAAGTTTTGAACTCTTTACTGTTGCCCTAATGACTGATGCCAGAGAGCCTGGTTTTGATCTAAAGTAGCGAATCAGACTTACAACAGGCTCAAAGGTCGACATTTTGTCCGACTTAAAGACAATTCCGCCGGATCGTCTTGAGTTCCAATGCCTTCGTGATGGTGATTGTCGAATTTGTCGTGGGGTTGTCGAGGGAATATGAATCAAAGTGCGCGTAGCCTCGCTTACTGGAATCACAATTGATATCGTAATGGTCTAGTGGGCCTGATTAGGCTTTCAGGCAAGATAATAATTTAGCGAGGGGGCTCTCCGGTTGGAGAAGATGTGGGGTTGTGGGCCGCTTTCCGGCACTCTTAAAGAGCGAGTGCACAAGATCAAATTTTTAAACCTTACTGGCGCTATCCGGGTTCAATAACTCTTGTGAGGTTTCGTTGCACTGTTGTTCTTGATAGGTCTATTGGTATTTTCAACAACAATAGATTGTAGAATATTAACCATGATTTCCAACATCAGCTCCCAAGTTTCCAACCCTTTTGTGAGGAGAATTTTATGATAGCCTCTACATATTCAATCTGTTTCTAATCAAAGGGTAAGAATTTGGTTTCTCTGTGGCCTTAGACGTAAAGTTGCAGCTCTAACTCTAGTCTGAGCAAATTAAGCAGCATGTCTAAACATCAAGCTCACCTGACTCCATTCTTGTATAGGTTAATATATTTGATAGGAATACAAGGTCATAAAGAAATTTCATGAAATAATTTAGAGAGCCATGGATTGGGCTATATTCCTTTTTACGCCAACACTACCACACAAGTTATAAACCTCAATTTAAGCTCGAGGATCTAAATTTGTTATAACTCACTTCGTTACTCTTTTTGTAGTGCCAGAAAGAGATCGATATTACAATGCTTTTCAATCCCACCTAAATTTCAAATGACTTCCAGCTCCTCGACTGATTTGTGACTGATTGTTATTACCTGTTAAATTTCTCACATGTGTAGGCTGGTGATGAGGAATGGTACAGATTTGATCGTCGAGCATAGACCTCAAGCTTTGCACGTGGAGCGAATCAGACTCAACATCAGTAACCGTGATAACTATGAATCAGACCAGCTCTCACTAGATCTTTGCCGGAGCCGAGAATAAGCCCAAAATTAGCCAGGATACTTTGCACCCCCAACCAGGCTTCTCCATTAATCACTACCAAAGACGGAACAGAGGAGATAATCTGGGCTACTCTAAAGCCCACATTCTCTTTCATGGGCTTCCCGGTAATTCAACGCGACCTCTAATTTTTACTGAGGTGCAAAAAATAAATGGTGTTGGAAGGCGACCAGCAAGGTAGAGATTAACCTTCTACATCATACCTAAGTTTACAGCGCGTCGCTACCTAGACTCTTGGAACGCTTTAGAAGTGAGGTAATATCTTCGGTATAGTCCTAATGTCTTTGTGAGAGCTCCGCAATCTAGAGTTTGCGAGGTTCTCCAGATGCCGTGAAGCTATAACTGTCCTGGAATTTATTAGTTGGAGATGGGAGATGTAAAATCAAATGATCTCCCAAAGTGCATTATCATGTAGAGGCGCATGAGGACTAGTTCTGGTGGAAGAGACCTGTAAACGAGGTATGGGAGAAAAACTACCAGACAAAAGTTTTCTTGGCTTGTAGGCAGTTCTGACCTACATGTCCAATATAGTCATACACCAAGAAGAGGTAATAATTTAAAAATAAAAGTTTCGCATGAGCGGGCCTCTAAAAAATTGTGGCGCTAACCATAATTTACACCATAAAGATAAATGTTGAAGATTTAATTTGCCCAACCACAAGTAGTCATTTGTTTGAATATGAGAATTAAATATCTCTTACATTTTTTAATCTACTGGAATCGAACAAGAATGGAATTCTAATTAACATCTTGATGAAAAGGACTTCCCAGAATTGACATATTTTTGAACTCGTTTCATGGGGTTAGAAAATATGCTAGATCCCTACAGCCTTATCCAAGCTACTGAGTACTTCCTGAACTTCTCTCACTATAGCTCTTCTCTTTTCTCTAGCATCGCTCGATCCTTCAGTATCGACCGCATCCAGCTTGAGTATCACCTCGTTCATAATAGTTTCGCTGAGCTTCTTGTGTTCAAAATCTTTCTTCTTGGTATCATCTGGTGGCGATGCAGTGAATTGTACGCATAATGGTAATATTTTAGTGTGGAAATGACTAGATATCGTGGACAGCTTCTCTATTAAACTTTGTACTCCTGGTGGAGAGGGTGTTACAGGGCGTGAGCTCGCAGAGTTATCTGGCTGAGAAAGATTCGAGTCTTTATTCTTCAATGCAGCTTTCCTCCCTTTCTTACCACGAGAACGTTTTTTCTTTTTATCTTCTGTATTTTGATCTAATTCACTAGAGTTGTCTAGTTGACTTTGAGGCTTATCAAGTATACAAAGTATTTCGCTGTGATTCTTAAGATCGTAATCTCGACATGGTCTACAATCATCATTCAATTGTTGCCCTTTATGCAATAATTTCATGTCTTGTATTTTGCCTTCGCGTAGTTCCATAATAGCTGTAATTTTCTCTCTTAGATCTTTAACTTGCAATATTCCATCGGCGATTGATCGTGAGGGGAACTTTACAGGGTACGTTATACCATCACTTTTGACCAAGAGAACATCGCAGTCAGTTTGTAAACTCGATGGTTCCGAGTGCCTTGAAGTTTCAGAGGCTCTCTCACGAGAAGCTAGATCCTGAGATGTGATATAGGAGTAGTCCTCTTCGGTGACATTTGGTGGATTAGCCCGGCTTCCAAACGGCGAAAGTTTTGGTCTGTTGCCACCCCACAATGCTCGACTCCAGCCACTCATAGAGACCAAAAAGAGAGTAGTGACTATAACTCCCAGTGATCCAGCTATGGCTTTTGGAGGTAGTTTTTCGAGGTGAGTGACTTTGTAAATAGATGGGAGTTGCTGTTGGTTAAATAGCGCAAGTGACTGAAGCAGCTTATTTGAGAAATCTTGGAAATTTATGTGAATTTGACGAACAGTAGATAGGGCGCTGTGTGCAGCAGCCTGCGATGCTGAGGAGAGAGCCACGGTGGATAATGTAAAGCCCTGCACGATGAGGACCTTGTTCCTCAGTTAATTGCAGCTCTGGCGACGTAATGTATGTGATGGACAAAGTGGTTTGATCGGCACGGTCGGCCTCAACTGAGTAATGGCAAAATAGCCAGGATGGCTAGTGAAATGTAAGGTATCAGCGTATCTAGATGATTAAGGTGTCCACATCGCCAATGTAGATAAGCAACCCTAGGCCAATCATGTTTCAACCCAAGGTTACAACTATGAGACCTACACCCTGCAATACCTCATGCTGTCATGCTGTGTATTTCAAAAGTGATCGAGGTATCATCATTCCTGAAAACTCCATAGATATTTTAGATACTCTCAGCACAATGGCCAAATACACGAACGGCTCAGTTAGTTTATATACTCTTTTTCTCGTTTACAGCTACATTTTGAAAGTACCACTGCTTGGAAGCTTTTACTATATCATACATTTAAGGGTGCCTCTGCCCTTTGTAATTCCCCCTCCCAATCAACTAAACGAAGGCCATTTTCGGTTGTAGTTGCTGGAGAATTTGCAAAAACCACTGAATACGGGGCTTACATAATATTGACATCTAAACTAAATCCGAAGGTGTAGCCATACTGTTAAAGCACTTTGAGAGACCAAGCAGCTAGGCGCTGTTCTGTAATTAGAATTAGAGGAGCGCAGAACTTACGCCTGACAGTCCTTGAGCCTCCATGCCCGTCACAGGGCTCAATTCGCTTACGATGCTAGAACCAATGCTTCGTTTCTAATTTTCCTTCCTGGCCAATTGGGCGAGAGTCCAATTTGAATATAAAAATGTAGCTAGTATCTCATGTAGATTCTAGGAGTCCTCCATATTCATAGACTCAGTTAGGACTATGTGATAATCTAATCTAATCTAATTGGGCGAGATTTACTATTATTATTTTTTTTGCATCAGATTTTAATTCCGTATACAGCTATCTAGCTATGACACAATATCAGAGAAAAGGTACACAAAAGATGACTCAATATACAAGAGCACTCATGCCTCGGATTTCATATGCAGATTCCATTACGAAGTTATGGCGACTTTTTCTTCACCTCAAGTCACCCCTCATCCGTGGATATTTACCCAGGGGAACGTCTCATAAATCCTGAGATATCTAGACATAAATCCATCATCCATTAACCTTTCTCCGCGCGAAATAAAGTTTGAAGCGTCTCCTTCCCAAGTATAATAGGTGCCGCGGCTACTCAAACTATACCGGAGAACACCACCAGGAGGCGGATCACAACACCTTCCATTGTTTGCTTGTGTTTATAATGTCAGGTGCACTCTCGCAAGCGAAGCCTTGGCACACACAAAGCTCAACTCGTAAAACTCCATGCCAAAATTCGAAATTTCACGCCCGTCGAAAACGTATCCCTCTTCTGCATCATCTTGTAAACTTGTCCTGATCCCTCTCACGTCCATCCCAAAGAACAGTCTCCCAGATTTGTGCGTCACTCTTTGCTACCTCCTGCGGGTGTAAATATCGGTGTAGGGTCAGAGAGGAGCCCAATGTGCTTGATAGTCATAGACTCAAGTAGTACAATAAAACACACACATATCGGCGTGGGCGTGTATATGGTGGTCAACTGAGGCCAGAGAAAGTCAACGAGAGGTGTAGTTATTGGAATGAGGATGTACTTGGTCGTACTTGTAGACTTGATGAGACTTGTACATGAGTCGATCTCGTTAGGAGTGAAAAATTGACATGGTGGAGTATTTTAAATCATTGTCTCGTGGGCCAACTTCTTTGATATTACAAAATTCGACTGAACTTGGCTCTTGGAGAATATTTCTCTCTCAGGTTCGTGGAGGACACCGCGTACAGGTGTTCAGTCTTGCCCTCAGACCTCCTAACTAATTGTGCCGTCATGTCCAGCTTAATCTATCGCTCCAATGCAGGGTTGTCGTAAACAATCTCAAAAATACGCTTAGGTATTCAACTAAGCTTAAATACGTTCAATCCGTAACAGAAGTGCACAGATTAAATCTTTGACATATATTATCAAGATTACTTAAGATTTAATTCTTGTGAATAGTGAAAAATTTTCCACTCGTGTTATGGATGGCCAATATGATTCTCGAATATAAGGCGGCACATCAGTAGGTTGTAAGATGAGTCTAGCTGGAAATGATATTCTAGGGAAAATTAAGACAAACTTCAAAAAGAGTTGAGCCCAACTGTAGTAAAGGAAAGTGTGACAGGATGGGGACTTAGATGTTTTCTCAGAGAGAAGAAAAGAAAAAGATGATTGATTGATTGATTGCTCCTATCCCCCATCATCTCACTTCTAGTAAAAGGGCTTGTTATTATAGATATGAGCTAGAGGATGATATTTTAAGATTCACACGAGAGCGGATGCTGAGCCGTTTGTGAGGTCTGGAAGTGACGAGAGAGCTGTTTGTAGTTTATAATATTGATCTTCTCTAACTGTATCCACACCGTCACAATGTATCCATTGTTGAATATTTATATCAGAAATAAAGCTCCGCCTAGTCAGCATACGCTAACATTAACCCAGTTTCTTTCCCGACTAAATCCTCATTCTGCCAAGACGATTACATCACAACACTTGTCCCTTAATATCTATAAGGAAAAATTTTGGAGGGCAAGACTGAACACCTGTACGCGGTGTCCTCTTCGAACCTGGGAGTGAAATATTCTTCCAGAGCCAAGTTCAGTCAAATTTCGCAATATCAAAGAAGTTGGCCCACGAGGCAAAAATCCAAGTTACTAATCCACGTCGTTATTTCGCTCCCATCGAGTTTGACTCCTATCTTCGTCTCATCAAGTCTACAAGTACGACCAAGTACATCCTCATTCCAATAATCACACCGCTCTTCGACTTTCTCTGGCCTCAGCCGGTCACCAAATACACGCCCACGCCGATATTTACACCCGACGGAGGAAGCAAAGCGTGGAGCACAAATCTGGGAGACTGTTCTTTGGGATGGACGTGAGAGGGATCAGGACAAGTTTACAAGATGATGCAGAAGAGGGATACGTTTTCGACGGGCGTGAAATTTCGAATTTTGGCATGGAGTTTTACGAGTTGAGCTTTGTGTGTGCCAAGGCTTCGCTTGCGAGAGTGCACCTGACATTATAAACACAAGCAAACAATGGAAGGTGTTGTGATCCGCCTCCTGGTGGTGTTCTCCGGTATAGTTTGAGTAGCCGCGGCACCTATTATACTTGGGAAGGAGACGCTTCAAACTTTATTTCGCGCGGAGAAAGGTTAATGGATGATGGATTTATGTCTAGATATCTCAGGATTTATGAGACGTTCCCCTGGGTAAATATCCACGGATGAGGGGTGACTTGAGGTGAAGAAAAAGTCGCCATAACTTCGTAATGGAATCTGCATATGAAATCCGAGGCATGAGTGCTCTTGTATATTGAGTCATCTTTTGTGTACCTTTTCTCTGATATTGTGTCATAGCTAGATAGCTGTATACGGAATTAAAATCTGATGCAAAAAAAAAATAGTCAGGAGGTCGAAGCGTTATTACAACTCAGTGATACCTGGCAATGCGTGGCTGGGTAGCACGTATTGTGCCTAAGGATAAGTCATCAGTCTGGAGGTTGAAGAAGGGGTCCAATTCTTGTAAATACCTGTTAGTAGTGGCTAGAGTTCTCTTTTCTCCTCGTTTAGTTTAATAAATCGATTTATTCATCACCAACTCGGTTTCTGTCACAATAACTCTAAGCTTAATTATGGCCAGCAAGACGAAGAATATCATAGCCTGTCGTTTAAAATGAAAGAGCGAAAAGTCATTAATTAGAAGATAAGAACAATATAGAAAGGGGTTATGAACCCAGAGTAGAAATGGGCATTATTAATGTAATCGGAAGCAACGTCATATCAAAGAGGAGTCAAGGGGGACTTTTCTCAACACCTGTCAGTGGTGTCCCCTACTAACCTCCAGGTCTCAGCAAAGAGTCTGCAGAGCCGAGATGGAGTAACATTTTTTCAACTTTGAGCTGAGTTATCTCACCCTCCGTCGAAGATACGCTTCCGATAGCTCATAAGACGACCAAGACGACCAAGACGATGATAGTGATGCTGGGAATAAGGAAAGATAATGCGGTACCAAACGCTACAACGGTAGTCAGAGAAGCCCTCGTTATATCACAACATGTGCTACCCACCGGCGGCCGAACAAAAAGCCCACGAAAGCAAAGTAAAAGACCCTTCCGCCCTCAAGAAAAGCAGACATCGACTCGTCTACACTATCGTCCCTACTAATCTTAACTTCCTAGCATACTAGCCAGGAGGGCATCTGAAATACATGAGTTACTCGAAGACCCCACGTCCGTAACAACTTTTGGATGCTAGGCTCCTTCACAACAGTTGCTCTTGAGCTTCCATGAGGTTACATACATATCACGTGTCACGCTAGGGCACACACCATATATCTTTTGTAATGTAAAACTGAATATAGAACAATATACCCTCCAGTGGTCTGAATACCTTCACCAGTACAGTCGCGGATGTTATCACGTCCCTCTTGTGCTAGAAGACATCAGACTAGGAGCCACAAGAATAATTAGTTTTGTTAGGAAACCCCTATTCATTCAAACTCGTAATTTTGAATTCTACCTTCAGTTACGACCGAGAAAATCCATCCCATCCCTATCTTCCTACAAATCTTTCATCATTCAATAAGATCTCGCTCATCTGATCTAATGGCTAAGGAAGGCGAGACCGGTTCGTCGGCATCATCATCATCGTCGAAAGTTAC